CGCCTCCGCCGCCGCCGGGCCATGGGAGCGCGCCCCGCTCCGCCGCCGTATTTCACCGCCACCGCCCCGCCGCTGCCCCGCCCCGGCCCCGCCGCGGGGCGGGAGCAGGTGGCCGGCCCCGGCCCCGCGGGGACTGCCGGTGCTCCCGGACGCGGCGGAGCCTCCTCCTCCAGCGCCCCCGCACCGCCTCCGGCCATTACTCCATCGGGCTGCCCCGGCGCTTCCATTCACCGTCCCGTGCCCGATGAATCCCCGGCGGCGGGAACCACCGGGGCTGTGCTGGGCTTCTCGGCTTGCTGTTTCCACTGCTCCGTGCCCATCCACTCATTCTGTGCCCATCTGGCTCCTGCCTCCATACAACAGCCCCTTTCTCACGCATCCTCTTCATTCCTCTGCTGATGCCCCGTTCCCACTCAGACTTCCAGTGACTGTCCGCCCACCCCCTTCCCCCTCAAGCTGCCCCGTGTCTGTTCCATCAGCTCCTGCTGTTGGACCCCTGCCAAAGGGTTTCCAGCTCCCCAGCCCCAGGGACAGCATCCTGGTTCTGATCTACAGCTTGGAAGGGAAGGGCATACAGCAAGTCTCAGGTCGAACCCTGCTGCAAACCCAAAGAAGCTCTGTTGGCCTTTTCTGTTCTATTTTTAAGCCCCAGAGGCCAGGGAAGCTGGAACTATGGGAGATGTGATGAGATGCCAACAGGCAACACGATGCCCCGTGGGCTGCAGGTCCTAGGGAAATAACAAGCTCTGTGTCCGTGCCAGGATTCACGTTTCTGTCCTCCTGGGAGAGTGGGGAGGCTGCTTCAGGACTTCCCTACCCAACACCATGTGAGGTCTGTCCCTGCAGCATGAGGATGCCAGTGATCTGCTCCCAGCCCTGTGGGATCTGTCCCCAGGGGATGCAGGAATGTCAGCTGCCTGTCCTCAGCCCTGTTGGGCCATGCAAGTGGCAGTGACTCAGGCTGGGCTCAGTCAGGAGCTTCTAGGCATTGGTACCACTGAGTATGTGACAAAGCTACTGAAGGAAGGCCTGGCAAATTAGCATGGAGATGCTGCAGAGATAAGCACACAGAAATCCCAGCCCCACTGCGGGGAGGGTGTGCTGCAGTTCATCACTCAGCGGCACAGCACCAACTCAGCAGCTGCTGGGGCTGCTGTGGCAGCATTCAGTACCTGTTCCTTCTGGCTGGGCAGCAAAAAGCAGGTAACATCTTTAATGTGATGACTGGAGCATGCCTGTGGTCTCCCTGTGCCACCCTACGGACCCTCCTGGGCCAAGGGGACCCCCTTCCCACTTGCCCAGGGATGGTTGTGAGATGGGGGAAGAGAGCATTTCCTCCCATCCGAGAGCAGAGGCCGCCCTGAGCAGCAGCTGCTGCCAACTCACTGGACAGACAGAATCCTGTTATTGCAAAGACCGTGACCACATGGGGCCTCATGCCTGTCCTTGCAGGAAGGTCCCTTGGGGCCACCTCTCAGACACAAGGCCAGCCTCTGGCGCTGGAGCAAAGGGCTCTCCCCCAGGCACTGTGTGGCTGGGGAGACCAACCCTTAATTGCTGAGTGCAGTCCTGTTCCTGGTCTGAAGCTATTTCCTCAGAGGCCTTGGGCAGAGTTTACATTCCTGGGATGAGCATCCACTTTCTAGGCAGTGTGGAACAGAGACAGGAGAAGAGGAATAATATTTGGACACCAGTAACCTGTGATCAGCAACATCCTCCTGCATATGGGAGAAACATCAAGCTGGCTGGGGTCACATCTGCTTGCTTTCCCCTCTGCCATGCTCCTCCCCGGGGGGCCAAATCTGCCCTTCCCCAGCTGCAGGATAGGGCTGGAGGTCGATGCTATAAATGCACCAGCATGTCCCTCGTGCCGCCTCCCACTCGGCTCTGGGGAGCAGAGTTACGCATTTTGGGAGCAAGGGACAGAGGAAGCTCAAGGAACCAGCCAGGCACGTAAGGAAAAGAGAGACATTTCCTTAGAGAACAAATGCCTCCCCTGCAGTGAGCCCCACGCAGTGGCTGCTGACTGAGAGCATCATCTCGGATATGCCACTGCCTGCCTGTGCCACATCCCTGCCCTGCTCACAGAGCTGAGGAAGGAGGTGGGTGAGGAATGATGGTGTGTCCTTGCTGTGGGTGAGCTCTGGCTGTCAGGTGAGGAAGGCCAGCTCTGGCACCCAGCTGCAAGCATGCCATGGCACAGCCCTGCCAGGCTCCCTCAGGGTGAGGGGCAAGAGCAGGGGCCCTGGCTGCCCATGAGCACTGAAGGAGCCCAGAGGAAGCAGCTGCTGTTCCCTGCAAAACCACACCCTGCCCATTGCACTCAAGGTCCCTCTTAAGTAATCTTTTCCATAAAACAGCCCCATTTCAGCACCAGAGTTCTCTCACGGGCATCTTATACCCTGCAAAATCCCACCTTTGGTATCTCACATGGAAAGAACCCAACAAAAATTTGTCCCTGCATCATTCTTAAACTGACTGCAGCCAGGACCCCCTGTGTCACCCCTGAAGCCCTCGGAGAACAACTCTGAAATCCTCAGGGCATTATTTTTGTTCTACTGCTATTTAGGACACATAAATCAGTCTCATCCAAGCTATAGGCTTCTACCAAGGGAAGGGCCATGATCCAGTGCCCAGCACAGTCACCCTCTTGTGTTTGACCCCAGTAGGCAAGAACCCCACCAGCAGCTCCCTATATCCTGCATTGTGACGGGACTCCTGAGGTCAAAGCAGCATGAGGATGTAGGGCACTGGGCCCTTCACCTGCCCATCATCCCAGAGCCCCCAGGTCTCCCCCTCGCTGTTTCATTTGATTGCTTTCATTTGATTGCTTCTGGGATCTCTTCTTAGAGAGTCTCCTAAGCTCCACTACCAGAGAGCCAGTCCACAGCTAGGACTGAGATAAACCAGGTCAATCATCTGCAGTTTGTATCTCCACAGTGAGAATGAGGATGGGAATGATCGGGCTGGCGCATCCCCAGCTCCAGCCTCTTGGCACAAGTAACCCAGGGCAGGCAGCCGGTGGGCACAGGGAGCCCAGGCCTCTCTCTCAGGAGACTGTGCTGACTTCTGAGAAACACACGGATCTCCAATGCCCTTGCAGAGCTGCACCAATGACCCCTGAACAGTCAGGGCTGCTCCTCAAGGAAACAGCTTTCAAACATCCTACCTGGGCCCTGAAGGACTCCTCAGAGCTGTGCTGCAGCAGCTCCAACTCTGAGATGCCCTGGGCAGCACATCCCCTGTCCCTGGCGGCTGGCTGCGGTGGCGTCAGTGCCTCTCCCAGCCCAGGTGCGCAGGGGGATGTGTTTGCTGAGGGGCAGGCTGACAATAGAGGGAAATGGGCCGGGCTGTGCACCCCAATGGTGGTGGCTCACAGCCCCGGCCTCCGCGGCCCGTGGCAGGCGGAAGCGTCCGGCCTTAGTCAGCCCCGGCCGCACGTGGCAGGAACTCTGCTGTTTGTTTTGGTTCCTGGGGAGGGGAGCTCAGCCTCCCTGGGGACCCACAACCAAACCTGCAGGCACCTGACAGTCCAGCTCCATGCCTGGGGACATCAGGGTTTGGTCCCCGCGTGTCACAGGCACTGCAGGCTGGCCTAGGTCAGACATGAGTTTTGGAGGGGCATGGGATGAGCACCAGGACTGCCTGAGAGCATTTCAGGCAGAGAACCCAGGCAAGGGGAATCCTTGGCAAGCCTGGGTACTGCTTTCTGACACTAATACCTTTTGGGGCAGGGACGATGCTACCAAGAAAGACGTCCCTGAGACTGCCAGAGCCAAGCCCTGGGTTGAGTGTGTGCAGCCCTCATCCAGCCAGCGTTCCAGGAACAGATCAATGTTGGCAGACCCAGTGCCACTCACCCAGTGCTCAGTGGGCAGCCCCACGCTGGGGGGACTGGCCAGGCCAGGGGTGTTTGCAGAAAAGCACAGCCCTGGAGCAGGGTGAGGCACTGGAGAGCCACACCACAGCCCCAAGCATACGTAGGCACCTACAGGTAAGCGTTCTGTCAGCAGCCCCGACAGCGAGCGTGGTTACAGTGCCAAAACAACAGCCCCATGCACACCAAGTGCCTGAGAGCAGAGCAGGAAGCAGAGACACAGCACAGCTCACCCTGCTCTGTCCAAGTCCCTCTCCTGAAGCCCTGGGTGGGAAATGCAGTCCCAGAAAGCCTGCAGGAATTTCTCTCCAGAAGCTGTAGAGTGCTGTGCTTGGGAAAAACAAGGCTGAGAGCAGGACGGACTGCTGCAGCAGTGTGCATGACCTTCTGCCACCGGCAGACAGAGCACCCTGCGCCCGCACTGCCTGGAGGCGCCGGGTATGCAACCACGGGAGGGGTGAGATTCTCCCAGCAGGAGCAGCCCTCTCCTCAGGAAAGAGAAAGAGACTTTTCCACCAGAGAACCAAGCATATTCTGCACATTTATCATGTTTCATCTACCCTGGGAAAAGGACAGTGAGCACTGAACAGCGAAGAGAGGCACACAGGCACAAAGCGGCTGCTGCTCTGCTGCTGCTGCCCCTGCTCTCCAGCTTTCCCAGCCCAGCCGGTGGGTGGGCAGGGGCTGCCAGGCGCTTTTCTCCCCTGCCAAACTGGAACCCGATCCACACCCAGCCCAGAGCTTCTGGCCGCTTATCATGTGGATGCAGTTCTCCTGCTTTTAGTTGTCAAAATATTGACACAAAGCAAAATAATAGTGATGGCAAGACTCTGCCTGGCTCTGGAAGGCAAACAGGCAAGGAGACGGGGAGTAGCAGACTCCACTATTGTGTGGGACAGGGCAGCAGCCAGAGCTGCTTCCAAGCTCTGCTCCTCAGCATCACTCCTGCTGATAAGAGGGGTTGTGGGATGCGGGCAGAGGGCAAATATAAGCTCCACAGCACACCCTCCCTGCTGAGGAGAGTGAACGTGTGTATCGGCAGGGCTTCATCCCAGAGGCTTTCCTAGAATGTGGGTGGAGGAGTGGCTCATCTCTCCCTTTCCCCGAAACCTGGCAGCCGCTGAATAGCTGCCATCACCCGCAGCAGACAATGAGCAAAGCGAGGCCGGGGCCAGCTGCAGCGCCGGGAGCGCGTGAGCAGAGGAGCTGCGGGGAGCTGGCTGGTGACCAGGAAGCAGCCCAGACTGCTGGTGTCATAGACCCCTTGGTGACCACAAAGCGTCCAGGCTGCACTCTGTCTCACTCCAAGGGCCTGGCTTCCTGCAGCCGCAGCAGGTTTACTCCGGGGCTTCTCTGAAGCCAGCCCAGAGGGATGAGCCCCCAGCAGCACCTCCTCTGTGGTGCTGGCCCAGCCAGCGTGCCATGCACCCTCAAAGTGGTGGCAGGGCCACAGCCAACACCTGCATGGTGCCACTGAGTTTTCTGAGCACTTGTGCCTTTGTGGCAGTGAAAAAAGCCAATGCCTTTTCAGAGTATGAAGGTCCAGGACACTAATAGCAATGCTGAGGACAACAGCTCCCACCCAGCTCTGTAGCATGCTCCCTCATCCCTTACCAGAGCTTGTTTTCCTACATGACATGCAGTGACTTCCCACACTTCCCTCACCTCTTCCTGACCAGCCTGGCCTTTGAACCAGCTGCCTCCAGCTGCCTGTATCACGAGGGGAGACCTGGGCTACTGCCATAGATGAATGAGCCGACGAGTGAGGCTCCACATCCAGGGCAGGCATTTAGACACCAGCTTCCCATGCCTCTCCCAGGGGCTGGGAAGAGCAAGAGGCAGCCCAGCTTCCACAACAAGCCCTAGAAAAACCTTCATGCTTCCCAGCCTTGGTCTCTATTTTTAAGGCTCCTAAAAGGAGCGAGGCGCAAATTACAAACTTGCTGGCAGGAGAGACGGTCCCTGGGCCAGATTCAGAACCGCCTACTCATTTTCCATAGGGATTGTGGACTCCATTGGTACCACAAGGGTCTGGCTATGGGCTTGGCCTGCCTGTGTGTGCTGTGCTGACGTGAGGATGAGACAGCAGCCATTTTCCAGACAGAGACAAGCGCACGTATGAGCAGGCGGCCAAGCCAGGAGCTGCACCAAATCCTTTGCTAACCTGAGGTACTGAATCCATCCTGTCATTCTCCTTAGCAACCCATGCCTGTTTCCCCTTGGCCACCCAGGCAGTTATGGCAGCCAGGCTTTCCTGAGGATGAGCAGTTTAGGAGACAGCTGTTACCAGAGTCATCAGGAAGACCAGCAGAACACGTGCCCTGGTACCTGTGAATGTCAAGCATGCCAAAACTGCCGATGACTCAGACAACGTGTGCGTGCGCCTGAAAAGCCACAGAGCTCGGCTTTCCAGCTATTCACGTACCTGCATTTGATCAGCAGCTGTTTGTTTGGGCTTTTTGTCTTCTTTCCTTGGAAGCTTGAATTCTAAACATGCATTCCACGCTCAGTTCAGCTCATCATTTCCATCCCCTTCACTTACTAAGTGACCTACTTTCTCCCCTGTAGCACACACAGAAAACACTGGTTTGGGCTCCCTTCAGCAGATTCATTCCTGCCTCTATGTCTGTGACTGCAAAAGCTTTGGTCTTGACTTGTTTTTGTCTCAGGCCTTTGAGCACAGGTTTTCTAAAGAGCAATCATGTCACACCAAAGATACCTTAGTGCATCCTTCCCCTCAGACTGTGCTTTGTGTTCTCCCCACACCCATGCACTGTGACCTCCTTCATTCAGTCACTTGTGCTCAGCAAGTGGCTTAGGCACCCAGCAGTAATGCTGCTTCTGCCCATGTCACCCACCCAGCCTCCACAGTCCATGCTGAGCTGACAGCCTGCCTGCTGCTCCTGCTGGCCCGTGGCTCAGCTGGCTCTCCGCTGCTGCCTCCTTTTCTTTGCCTGTGCTGAGCGTGAGCAGCTCACTTTGCTTACCCAACTCTTGCAGATGAGTTCAATTACTAGAGTTCAGCAAACTGATTCCCCTCCCTGGCATTTTATCCAGCCCACTTATCCACTGAGAGTTTCTAATCCAAACAGCCTCCCAGCACACGATGTTCCAGTGCTCCCAGGCTCTACCCAGCCTCTGTCCTGCCTTGTCCTCCCTCACATGAGCACTTGGTTCTCATTCAGCCCCCCAGGGATGCAGAATTCCCTGGGCAGAGGGAAGCAGTGTCTCCAGCAGTCGGCCCTGGTGGTACAGAGCAGGATGCCATCCTGGCTAGGCTGGCAGCTCTCCAAGGAGGTGAGACAGTTTTCAGCTCCTCTGCGGGCCCATAAAACGTGCTGCCGTGCTCGGCTGGCCAGCTCATTCCCTGCTTAGCTCTTTTGTGCACATAACCAGCACTGTCTGCAGCTGTGTCAGCCTCCTCGCTTGCTTGTGCACCAGCTGGGAAGCTGCAGCCACCAACTCTGCCCAGGGCACACCCGGGAAGGGAAGGAGGGTGGGCTGTGCAGGAGACAGTTCCCTGTGCCTGTGGCAACAGAGGGAGGTCCTGCTCCATTACACCCAGCAGCTGTGGAGCAGCAGGTGAGATTCCTTCCAGCTGCACAGGGCTGCACCTCCCCACCCCCCATCGCTTCTGCACAGTGCCACGGCCTGCAGGCAGTGGGATTTTAGCAGAGTACACTAGGCATCGACATGAACCTTTCCTTCCCCACTTGCCCTATGCTCCTGTGCTGTCTTTGCTGCCCGTCCTCCTCCTCAACAGCTCCTCTTGAGTCCTGCTGGGCAGTCCTTGTCTAACTCACTGGGTCCTGCCAGCAGCAGCTGGCTAGGGACAGTCAGATGTCCCGTAGCCATGGTCCCCGCGAGCAGCCTGGGGTTTGCCTCGCAGCTCTCCAGAGAGCCCCAGGCTTTGGCTCAGCTCCGCTATGCAGAGCTAACAGCTCCTGAAATCCCCATTCAGAGGCTTTCATTCATGAAACACAGGGCAGCAGACCAAGCGCAGGACTCTGTCCCTCAAGGGACACCAGACTGCCAGCTGCCTAAACTGGCTGTGGCAGCAGTGCCTGGCAGAAAGTGCTACAGGGAAAAGAACAGAAACAGCACAAACGGGAAAAGCTCTGCAGCCTGGCAAAGCGCTGGGAAAAAAACTGTCCTGCAATAGTTACTGGGACCAAAGCAGGGAATGTAAACAGCCCAGCATCCACAAGGAGGTCATAACCTCAGAGCCCAGTTTCCCTTCCTCTGCTCCGTCCTGCCTAATCTCCAAGAGCTGCTCTGTTTACTAGCAAGATAAGTAAACAAACAAAGGAAAGCTCCAACGCAGTGATTTTTATTTTTCTGGCCAATCCACAGGTCCCAGTCCCTGGGTGCACATGTGGGAGCTGTTTCTGCACGCCAAGGCAGCTGGCACACTGCACTGCAGGACCAGCAGCTGGCACAGCCTGGCCGGCCCTGCCTGTAAGTGCCTGTGCAGAGGGGCAAAGGGGGACGGGGGTTTCCCTGTACAGATGCAGAGCTGGGCAGACCTTGCTCCAGGGAACTCCGATTTATACACTGTGGAAGAAAACACAGAAGGTCCAGGGAGCTCCGATTTACACCCTATGGAATGGGGAACCAGGACATGTCCAGCTGGGACAGTGGGGTCCAGCACAGTGGAGCCAATAGCTGGGCAGACCCTGTCACCCTCTACTGACTTTCTCCAGGGGCAAAGGATGGGACAAGCTCATAATGGAGTGAAATTCTGACTTCTGGCCAGGGCTGCAGCAGCCGCCAAGCACAGCCAGTCAAACTCAGATGCGTGGCTTTTTGCCAGGCATTGGAGGAATACAGTGAGCTTCCTTCCCCAGGCTGCTGGGCTTTCTGCCTTCCAGGCACACAGGGGCACTTGAGGAAGCAGGAGGAATGGAGAGGCATGGAAGGACTCAGTCCCCTGCAGGCTTTGGGTGACAAATCACCTGCATTAAGTCCTCAGACCCAACACACCAGCTGCTGGTATTTTGCTGGGGACCCAACAGTCCCTGGACAGGAGCTGGCTGTAGGGCGAGTCCTAAGCCAACCAGACAAACGCAAATAAAATGTCGTGAACATCCAAGGCCCTACAGGCCTCAGCATGAAGCAATCACTGAAATCTTCCAGCATAAAACTGTTTGCTTTTATTTCCTAATCTCAAACAGGACACAGACCAGAGCGATAGAGTAAAGCAGTAAGGCAATGAGAATTATTCCAAGGCTCCTGCCTGTTCCCTGGACACATTGCTCCAGGAACTAGACACAAAAGAGCTACATTCCTGCCTTATCCAGGGCCGGTTCTGGCTCTGCCAGCAAGAACAACTGGGCTGCCAGGAACTGCGCCTTTCCCGGCCCGTTTGATTTGGCTCTGCAGAGGCCGGCGCAGCCCGCTCCAAAGCAAACCCGCTCCGGAGCAAACCCGCTTCCGAGCAGGCGAGCTCCAAAGCGAATCCGCTCCGGAGCACACTCGCTCCTAAAGCCCGCCCGCCCCTAAGGCCAGCCCGCTCCGCAGCGAACCCTCCCGCGCGCTCTGGGCACCGCCCCCCGCCGGACGCGCCTCTCATTGGCTAGACTGCAGCCGGGGGGCGGGCACAGCTCGGCAGTCTCCGCCAATGGGACGGCGGGGGGGCGGAAGCGGAAGTGTCGCCGCCATGCCGGGCGCCGCTGAGCGCGGCTCGGAGCTCTCGGAGCAGATCGAGGCCTTCGCGGCGCGGCTGCGGCGCGGCGGGGAGCGGCCGCGCTCCGAGGACACGGCGCGGCAGACGCTTTCGCTGCTGCGGAAGATCGTCGGGCACGGGCGATGGAGCCGGGCCGGTGAGGGCCGAGCGGCGGCGGGCGGACGCAGCGCTTTCCCCGGGCGGGCGCGGCTCCCCCAGCGCCGGGGGCGCGGCGGCGGGGCGAGCCGCGGGAGGGCAGCTGCGCCCCGGTCGCGGCCGTCGGGTGCGGAGGGATCCGCAAAGCCGGGCAGGCCCGAGGCGGGAGCCAGCAGCGGGTTCGCAGTGCTTGTCCTGCTGCAGGGGGCCCTTCCCTGCCTGCTGTGCTCACGGGCCGCGTCACCTGAGGAGCTGCCCCGCTCCAGCCCTGCTCTCCCCTCAGCGGCGTCAGCCCGAGCACGGACCTTTCCAGCAGCACGTGGTTTCCTCTTTCAAAGGAAAGACCAAATGCGCTGCTGATGGTCTTCCCTTAGGTCTGTGTTGTGTCCAAGCGTTTCCGACTGCAAAACCCACCAGTGGAACCGGTTGCTTTGTGAGGGCTCTCTGCTCGCCCCTTCCTGGTGTTTCTTGGTGCTGTGGCCCTTGTGCTGGAGCAGCTGCTGGCCCTGGGATGTTGAGGGGGGTGCACTGGTTTGATGCTCACGTGGGCTTGCTCTGGACAGCGATAACCGAGGCCCTCCCCTCTTTTAGGGGAGCTCATGGATCTGATCCGGACAGAGGGCCAGAGGATGACAGCAGCCCAGCCATCAGAGACAACAGTGGGCAACATGGTGCGACGGGTATTGAAGGTCATTCGTGAGGAATATGGCCGGTAAAGTGCCCCTCTTGCTCCCTGTATCTCTCTGAAAACCCAGAAATGCCCTTTTAAGCTGCTTCTGTAAAACCCCTGTAGTTTCCATCACCCCCTTTTCCCACCTCTCCTAGAGAGGGATTCAGGGAGTTTAATGCCAAAGGAAACCCTGTTGTTTCCACTGTGGGTGATGACATTTCCTCTTTAGAAACCACTTGGTGTATATGTTGTGAGTGCATGAGAACAGTCTGTGCCCTGGCCTTGGGTTGTTCTGTGTCTGTGCCTAGCGGGGTCCATCCCACTGGAGCAGTAGCCTCGAGCCTGCTCCTTGTCTGTGGACAGCAGTGTTTGCACGTCTTAAGAAGGCACTTTCTGGCAGAGATTTGGGTGTTTTTCTGCCAAGACAGCTATGGAAACTCTAGTGTGGCATGGTGTGCCTCCTGTGGGTGGCTTTCCTTCCTGTCTCTTCAGATCGAGGTGTGCCAGCTCAGCCTGGCTGTGGCCCTGAGCTCTGTCCTGAGGCTGAAGAGGCCGCTTCTCTCCACAGGCTTCATGGGCGCAGTGAGGAAAGTGACCAGCAAGAATCCCTGCACAAACTCCTGACTTCTGGAGGACTGAGTGAAGATTTCAGGACCCCTTACCCCTCCCTCAGAGCTAATGTTATTGAAGCTATTAATGAGATGCTAATTGAGCTAGGTATGGATGGGTCTGAATTGCTCCTGAGTGAAGATTCTTATGGGATGGGACTGATGCTTCCCCCTTCTCTAGGTGAAATAAAACAGTAAGGATCTGGGAGGCTTAATCCGAAGGAAGCAAGGGACTGAAGCCCTGCTGCTCCCAGGACTTAGGTTTAAGTCCTCTTTGGCTTATGGGGAAATGGGTAGATTGTGGAAGGAGCAATATGGGGGGCTGTAGGCCTGTACTCTTGGTCTTCTGGGAAGTCTTGAGTCCTGTGAAGAAGAGTGCACATGCACATATAACCCGACCCTTGTCACAAAGAACTGTGATACAGTTTTCTTTTTCTGTGATTCTTGTGACAAATCAGGCACTGGACCCACCTTCCGTGGCCCAGGTTTTCCCACCATTGAACTGCAAAAGTGTTGAAGTTTTGTGGGTCTCGTGGTTATCTGGAGCAGTGCTGACACAATCCACTCCCCTCACAACGGAGTTTTCAGTAGAGCTGTTTTTATATATAACGAGGGTGTAGCTAGGGAGCATGGGGCATTCAAGGACCAGCTTCTTGGTTCCACTCCACTGGCAAAAAGTCTGGGGAGAAAAGCTGCTCCTGCTCTACCAGTGCTAATGACATTGCTTTAGTGGAAAATAATCTTGGAGGACGGTCCTAGCAGCACAAGTGTTGCTCTTGCTGGCTGCTTTTACACCCATGTGTCCCTTGTGTTACAGAGGGCACCACTGATAACATTGCCATGCAGGCACTGGAGCACATCCACTCCAACGAGGTGATCATGACCATTGGCTACTCGCGCACTGTCGAGGCCTTCCTGAAGGAGGCCGCTCGCAAGCGGAAGTTCCAGGTCATCGTGGCAGAGTGTGCGCCATTCTGCCAGGTAAGGCCTAGGCTGGCTGTACCCTGTTGTCCCACACATTCTTACTGAAAGCTTGTGTCTGCAATCAAGATGAACATTATGGAAATTCCTCTGCAGTTGAGAGACTGGAGACAGCTCGTTGTCCTACCCCAGCATCCTTGAGTTGAAGGGCTGTGTTCAGGTTTCATCACTTGGTATTTTTGCAGTTCAGACAAGAATTGAGTGCTGATACCTTTACAATTACACTGCAGGAGCTATGTCACAGGGAACCAACTGGATTCTCCCTCTTTTTAGGGTCATGAAATGGCTGTCCGACTGTCTAAAGAGGGTATTGAAACTACTGTCATGAGTGATGCAGCTATTTTTGCTGTCATGTCTCGAGTCAACAAGGTAAGGAGGGCTCCACTGGAGGAGGGATTTCATGGCAGACTGGGTGCTTGGGCCTCTCAAATCAGCTGCAAGTCCCAGCAGTGATGGATGTGTCTCCTCACTGAAGACTCAAAATTGTAATAGTCCCTGTTCACTGCAGGGGTGGAGATTCAGTGTGGAGCTCCAAGTCAGTATGATGACTGACTGAATAGTGACAGGTTTTTCTGGCTTAGTGGCTACACTTACAAGAGAGCCTCAAAGGATTAACCTCAGTTTTCAAAGGAGATGGAACAAAAAGCAGCATTTCCAAAGGGAAGAAACACCCCTTTGCCTGAAACAGAAGATGACTGATGAAGCGAATCATTAAGGTTTGTCTTCTTAAACAGACATGTTCTGTACTTTTAGAGATGAAAACTTGGCACCCCAGAATGGGGGGGGAAAAATACTTGTAGCATATTAAAATGCAGCCACATCAATTATTATCTATATATTTTGAGCTGCTTTGTATTACTCCCTCAATCATAATGCACGGGAATTTTTGCAGTGAGTAGTCAAGTTACTTGTACAAAGCTTACTTTGTAGGTTTGTAGAAAAGGGACCACAGCCCAGTTTCTGCTTGGTGTTCCCTGCAGTAGAACTTACATTTGTCTTCTGAAGTTCTCTGTGCTGGCCTCTCTGTGCTGGAGTCATGCTCTTGTTAGTGAGGAACGTCTCAGTGCAGAGCCAGTGCCAGATGAAACAGATCAGGCATTCAGCTGCCCTATAACTCCAGCCACTGGCTGGCTGGCTGTACTGACACAGTCCTCCTCCAGCTCATCTGTCAGGGTGTGAGCCAGGAAGTGTTCCTTCCCCAGTTTGCTGTGGAACATGCTATCCAATTCTGATTTGCCCTTTTAAGGTCATCATTGGTACAAAGACAATCCTGGCCAATGGCGCCCTGATTGCTGTGAGTGGGACTCACACTCTGGCACTGGCAGCTAAACACCACTCCACTCCACTCATCGTGTGTGCCCCCATGTTCAAGCTTTCACCACAGGTAAGTACAGCAGCTCTTCAGGACTGCACCTGCAGGGGCTTTTACTTGTAGGAGCTTAGGGTGGAGAGCATCATCAGGTGCAAGGCAAGGTCAGTAAATGAGCCATCTCCCCCATCTAGCACTGTTACTTCAGACAGGAGATCCTCACCCCAATCTGGCACACCTCAGGATCTCCTTGAAGCACCTCTGCCACATGTGCAGAGCAGTACATGGGATATCAGGATGTAGACCACTGCCTTGACTGATGAGACTGGCACTGCCATACTTACTTTTCCTAAACCATGACAGACTTCAGTTTATACCATCAGTGTTGAAAGGCAGAGAAGGTAGAATGAGACTCTTTCTTACATTCAGTACTTTTTCAATATTGTCAACACGAAGTTGCAGACTGAGGAAGTCACTCCTCCAGCTCACTAGGCTTTGGTAAGGCCAGCCACGTCATAGAAGGCTCTAAAAGCTTTGAGGAAAAACCTTTCACCTGTAAATGTTAGAGAGGTTGTAGACACAAGCACTATGTAATTATTGTAAACAGAGTTAATATCACCTGGCAAGTCATCTTCCTCTGCATTAGTTCCTTCCAGTGCCAGGATCTGTTTTCACAAGGATTATCAGGCAGGGCTTTTTTCCTGATCTTCCTGTGCTCTTTCTCACTTAGTTCCCTAATGAAGAAGATTCGTTCCACAAGTTTGTGTCACCACAGGAAGTGCTGCCATTCACAGAAGGTACTGGTTATTCTTTATACGTCTGGTCAAGCTGGTTCAGACTATTTTTTTTCTTTTTGTAACTCATACAAAAAAACTTAAACATCAGACTATGTTATAATCCAAGACAGAAAATCCTTTTTTACTGTCTTTGACAGAAAAGAGTGCTGTGAACCATCCAGTTTTATAACTGTATATAATGTAAAGTAGAGAAAAAGGATTTCTCTTGAACACTGTCTTTGCAGTTTTGCTTCTGCTCTGAAACAGTGTTTAATTATAGAATGGTGATAATGATACCAGGTAGGCAGCAGTTTCCTGTGGGACAGGGCAATGCCCAACACCAAGGGCAGCTTCTGTTCTTTTGTGTAACTTCTTGAAACTTTGTTACATGATACAGCCATTGAAACAACAGTGTCTCTGCCATGGGCTTCCCACACAAGCACCGTCTTTAGAAAGGCATCAGTGCCCAAGCCCATTTTCAGTTAGCAAAGTCTCTTTCAAAGCCCCATTTCTATGTGACAAAGGGTTTTGAAATGAAGATAGCAGGCTTGGCAGCAGATTTTAGTTTTGACCTTCTGAGCATTTCTTTAAATAATAACTTTGGCAATATCAGGACTCTTGTATTTTATATTGGTAGGGCTTTTTGGCAATTAGTCAGTCTATATCAGAGGGGATCTGGGGTTTCTACCAGCAAAAATGACCAGAAACAGAGTTTTGCCATTCATTGAAGATTGCTGTATACCTGTAATTCGATGATATTAGTGAAGAAGCTGGGAAGTATTCAGGATGTTCAAGTACTGACTTCAGGGTGGCATGTGCATAGCCAGTTTGTTTAGGGACTCCAGAAGGTGTGCAAAAGACTAACTGTACTTTGAGTTGCTTTTACTGATATTGCTGCTTTTCACTTCACAGGGGAGATCCTGGCAAAAATCAATGTTCACTGCCCAGTGTTTGACTACGTCCCTCCGGAGCTCATTACTCTCTTCATTTCTAACATTGGGGGTAACGCGCCTTCCTACATCTACCGCCTCATGAGTGAGCTCTACCATCCAGATGACTATGAACTCTAATGCTGAGAAGCACATCACTATTCAGACTCTTTTCTCTTTCCCTTTAGAAAGATACAACAAGTAATTAAAGTGTATGTTGCAAAGGCAAGTTGCTGTGGAGAATTTGCTCAGCAATGTCTTTCCTACCCAAAAGCAAGAGAAGGCAGAGCTCTTGTACAGGTTTATATCACATGCTGTGTAAGACCATGTGGAGCTGCTAACCCACTTTGATTTTGAAATAGCAAGGCATATGTGTAACTCTGGGGCAGCTAAGCTGTTACTTCAAAGTACGCTGCAATAAAGGCTGTTTACAGTGATCTCACTGTTAAGCACATTTTCCATATGCAGTTGTTTTGTTTATTTAACTAGCAGGAGTTTTACCAGTGTAGTCAGTTGCCTGCACTTACTACATGATGCAGTATCCAGTTTTACAGTGTGCTTTCACATGTAAATGTGATAGGAGTAGGAACTTATCAACAGTTGTCTTCAAAATGGATATTTAGCTATTGAGTTATTTCTGTGGGGCTAGGTGGGGATTTAGAAATCTCTCACTCAAGAGCACAAACTGCAAGGAGCTGGAGAAGGCAGCTCTGTGTGTCATTCACTGCCTAGTTAAGTGTTTCTTGAGTCTAAGTTGGCCCAAATATACTATGAAGCTGGTCGATCCTCATTCCAGCCACTGCCATGAGCCCAAGGAGTGAGTTGAGTGTGAACTTTATTAAGAAATACCTTCCAATTTTCAAAGTACTATAAAATACACTAATTAAAATTCCCCTCTCTATTATACAGAATTATGCTGTGCTTGCAGAAAAGAAGTGCTTTGCTTCAGTAATTGCAAGTGGGTGCAGCTCCTTGCACCCAACAGCTCAGCACTGACATAGCACCCAGACTTACAGTGCTGTTCCTTAAGGTTGAAGATGCTTCTCCAGGCTCCAAGGGTGGGCTCCTCCTGCCATGTTCTCCTGGCTGGTCTCTGCTTCTTTGGTCAGTAGTTGGTGGAGAGCTTTGGTGACTGCACTGGCTCAGAACTTGGCTCTGCACAGGGCATTGTAGTCTAACAACAGGATCATGGATCATACCAATGCTTCCAGTGGTTGCAGTTTACAGTTTTTACTTTTTTTTAAATAGGTTCTTTTTTTTTTCCAAATAGCTGCCATGCTCGTGCCATCTTCCTCAGTCTAGTCAAATTTGGTTTAGGCTGGAGGGAGAAAAATTAAGAAGCACAAGTCATAACTGAGTAAATAAGTTTCAGTGTTTCCATACTCTTTGCCCTAATACAGTCATTCCTAAGTTAATACCTAATTCAAAGTCCCACCTGACTTGCAACAGAATCCAATTTAATAACAATAAAGCACAGTAATAGCAAAAGGGAGGAGTAATGATTTTGTTTTAAATTTAAATGTAACCTGATTTAAATATAATTTAAATGTAACCTTTTCTAGTGGAAGGTGTTTGTAGTCATGGTAACTAGATGATCTTTAAGGTCCCTTTCAACCCAAACCATTCTATGATTTTATAACAAATGTTGCTATTCCTGTGCTTTATCCCCATTTTATAACATCTTAAACTTCGGGAAAGTAAGCTTTTGTTTAATTAGCATCTTTGCCACTAGCAGAATTTCCATGTTTTCCAAATTTTACACTTTAAAACTGCAAGCACTTTAAATGTATGCTTAACCTTAAGGACACTATTCAAGTCAGTGTGACTATTCAAATAATATATGGTAAGATCCTTGCTAAAGTGTTTACAAGACAGATGGCTTTTGTCCTGAAGTTTCATTTTATTGATAACAATATGTTACAAGTCAAGTAATATAAGGCCAGTGGGGATGGTTTCAAACTGGATGATCTTAGTTCTCACACACATACATGATGTGCCTCTGGTAACCCAGAGCACAGATTACCAGAGGTGTGTCCCACACAGTACCTGTTTTTCCTGCTGTAGATGGTCTATGTCGGCAAGAGGCAGCATTGAAGGTCTTCCATGAGCACACTGGAAGGGTAGCTTACAAGATGACAAAGCTTCAATAAGCCTGCAGCTCTCCTCCAAAGTCAAATGCTCATTAAACTTAATAGCTCCTGAAAAAGAGAGATGCATTCTTGCCCCTGCTGCCAAAGAGGACTCCGCTTCCTTCCACAGCTGTGAATTTCAGTGGAAACACTGGGGGCATCTCCAAAAGATTAGCTGAGAGGCTGCAAAGGCAACCCAAAGGCTGCAGTGCAGCAGACCTGGGGCTTAGCTCAGTTAAAGAGTCTGCTGTATAAGGAGATCAGCTTTCCATGGCTTAAGCTTTAACGTAGTCCAAGTCTGATGGATGGTAAGATTATTACGTTTTGGCATTTTAGGTAATATTGCAATAGGCAAATGGGCTTTTTTTTGTGTGTGTTACAGCTAAGTTGGAAACAGTTCAAAATCAAGAAGTATTAAACCAAGACAACAGTTAACAACAGTTTGATAGGCTTTAGTGGCTTTCCATGGCTGCCACGGACAGGTGTCACTTCTGAAGCCAAGTGCTAGCCCTGCCACCGAGTCCATTCTCACAAGTGAGCACTTAAAGGCGTCCAGAGGAAATTCAAGCAGAATATTAGGGAGTTATTCCAGAGGTGTTTACAAACTTTAGCCTTCACAGATGCACAAGACCATCTGCAATATACTTTCAGCTGTGGTACTTTTTTAGACACAAAAACCCAAAACCTATTGACTGCTAATTGAAAATTGAGACACTGTTGAGAAAACAGATACTTCTGGTTCACATTTGCCCTTTCAGTGTGATCTTGTTGATACTGTATATGGCACAGGAATTGCAACAAGAGGCTGGAGCTACTGCAGTCAAGACCAAGAAGGCCTGCTCATTGCCAGGTGCTGGGAAGCAACAGTTCCCTAAGAAGATGTAAATTTTTACCCCACTCATTCCAAAAGTACTTGAAATGTTGCAGGCACACTTAAACTACCACTTGGGATACTTAAAGGAAACTGAAAATTTGGAAAGAGTGGCTAAGTGTTCTTTCCTGCATGCTTTCAAGCGGATTTTAGCTCCTTCCCCCTTGGCCCACCACAGAGCTGTTATTTGAATGGTTTAGAGCACACACAGATGAATGCATCTCAGAACTGTATGTTTCACATGAAGGTTGGGAAAGTATGCTAGGCCCATACATTAATAAATTGGGGGAGTATTGCTTATACCTTAGTGCTGTCCATGAGCATTACCTCCTCATCCCTAAGAAATAGTCTTTAACCCTGCAATAGCTGCAAACACATCCAAACACTGCCCCAGGGAGGATGATGTGTAGAGACAAAGGTCTGGGGGAAAAAAAAGCCAAAAAGAGAACGAATGAAGGAAAAGTACAGTTTCCCTACCATGACAGGCCTGGGAAGCTAACACCTTCAGAAACGTCAGAGGCAGTGTCCCTCGTGCTCCTCCTCTTGTAGTCTGCAATAGCTAAAAGCAGTAAGGGAATATCATGTTACTTTCCATTTAATATGAGAAAAAAGAACTGTAACACAAAGGAAACTGAAAATGAGGAAAAGCTAGGGGATTATTTAGTCCACTCTCTCATTTGAAGCTCAGCAGGCTCCCTTTGATTCATGCAGTAAGCATTGGACGTTACAGTCAATTCTAGAAGTAGACAGCAACTCACCTCAACTTGTTCTTGAATAAGCTCCTAGAAAGAAAAAAGGTAATGTCATCAGTTGCTATTTTTCCCTTCCATCCCTCTACCCTACTTTGTTCACATCTGTGTGTAATTTACTCTGTGACTGCCAGAATAAGTGATACTGTTCATAGTACACTGACCACAGTGTAGAAGATCTAGCTGGAAGTCCTGACTTCCCATTGCAAGTAATCACTTCAGAAATTTCTCCCTCAAACTGCAGAACATCTGAAACAGTGGTTTTTAGAAAGCCCCACTGACCATGTAGAGATTTCATGGAAGCAACTTTAATATTGCTGATACATAAATATTACTTGCTACGACTTGTTCATTTTACTGTTCCTTCAAGCATTTACTGTCCATTCAAGCACCCACGTGCAGTAAACTGTTAAAATATCTTTGCTATATACAGTTTTTCTTAGCTTCTCCACTAGTCCAAGTCTGAAACAGTCCTTTATCATTTCAGTTCAGTGATTTCACTTTTGGGACTATTTAGCTACTAAAAGGGATGGCATTCACATTTGCCATGGGACTTCATTGTGTCCTTCATAACAGAGATCCTGTAATACCCTGGGCCATGAATACAGAACAAGACCTACTATCATGACTTCACCCATGTCCACAGCTGACCTCCACAATACTTTTAGTGATAGGTTGTCTTTTCCGTCGTAATTCGTTGGCTTCTCTTTCTATAAAACACATTGGCACTTTCCTCACAAGAATCAAGGAGTTGTTTGTCTCAGGAAATGATAATTCAAGACCCAAGTCCTCCAGATTTTTGTAGCAGCATCTGAGGAAAAAAAACCAACATAAATAAGACGTCAACCATTGTATCTGTGACTCCACAGCACATGTAAATTTTTCTGTAGTCCACATACACGGTTTCTCATATCCCTTCCTGTAACAGTTTCCCATTTCAAAATCCATGCCTCATGAGATTCCAAGTAATTTTGCCTTTTCAGCTTACATTCAGATGTTTTTTCTCTCCAATCAACCGTGCATTTTTCATGTTCCACAACTACAAGATCTAAGAGTCCTTGTATTATATGAAGAGAGGCTTTGTTTCTAAATCCAGAAATCTGCCTTTTCTGAACATGCACGAGATGTCTGGTTCAACATACAAACGTTCCAAATACTGAAATTACACAGCATTAAGACTACTTTAAGTCTAATCTAAAAGAACTGTGATTTCAATTAACACGTATTAGCAAATTCTTAAAATGGAAAAAATATTTTGAGAAATTTATGATGGTTTAATGAACTTTATATCCTGTTAAGCAAAGAAAACACAGGAAAGAACAACCTCTAGTTAATTATGACATATGTCAGCCTGTGGATGGAAAAATACACACAAAAATGAGACTTCAGAGACAGATGAGAGCTTATCTTCTAAATGAAAACAACTGTAACAATGTATACTTTATTAATTCAGGGAGTATTGACTTAAAACAAAGGTGGTAAAGGTTAGTTCTAGAAAAGAAATTCTTTGAACAAAAAATAGAAAGAAGCAAATCTAAACTTATCTAAATCAATAATGAGAATAGTACAATTATTAGCCTCCATGGCTTGTGAAATTCTACTCAAAAAAAAAAAAAAAAAGAAGACGTGTAGCCTTCAGCAGGCTATACAGAAAGAAAGACAAAAGCCCATTGTGAATGAAATGACA